AAACAGGCAAACCCAGACGAGGGATGGGGGAGGAGGACCGGGTCCCCACCTGCACGAGCAGAAGTGTGGTGTAAAAGAAAGAAAGAAAGAAAACAGACAACCCAAGGGAGGGATGGGAGGACGGCACGCCGCCACCACACAGGGATTTTAAGGAGAGGAGTCCCGTTCGTGCGAAGCATCGAAAAATTCTTTTTGTGCTTGCCTTCGAAGGTCGCCAATGGCAGGTGAGAGGCCTGACACCGCGATGGAGCCCGGCTCCGCCGCGCTCGAGCCGCGCGCGCCGCAGCGCGTGATGATCACACGCATGGTGCTCGACAACTTCAAGTCGTACGCCGGCCCCATCACCATCGGCCCCTTTGACGCCAACATGACGTCGGTCGTCGGCCCGAACGGCAGCGGCAAGTCGAATGTGATCGACGCGATGCTGTTCGTCTTTGGCTTCCGCGCCAACAAGATGCGACAGGGCAAGCTCTCCGAGCTGATCCACTCCTCCTCGCGGCACCCGAACCTGCAGTACACCAAGGTCTCGGTCCACTTCCGCGACGTCGTCGACCTGCCGGACGGCACGGTGCAGCCCGTCGAGGGCACCGAGCTCGTCGTGGCGCGCGAGGCGAAGCAGGACAACAGCTCGACCTACTGGGTCAACGGCAAGCGCGCGGGGCGCGAGGAAGTGGTGACGCTGCTCAAGCGGCGCGGCATCGACCTCGACCACAACCGGTTCCTCATCCTGCAGGGCGAGGTCGAGCAGATCGCGATGATGAAGCCGAAGGCGCCGAGCGCGCACGAGGACGGGCTGCTCGAGTACCTGGAGGACATCATCGGCTCGAACCGCCTCAAGGAGCCCATCGCCGAGGCGCAGACGCAGGTCGAGACGCTCAACGAGTCGCGCGCGGTGAGACACTTCCGAGACGCTTCCGAGACGCTTCCGAGACGCTTCCGATACGCTCCCTCTCTTGCTTCGCCCACGGCGCACCTGCACCGAGTGCATGGTGCCGCTCGCACAGCCGGGCGCAAGACGCTTCTTTGCGCTCCGGCATATGCATGACGCATTCGTGACGTGTCCAGTCTGCCAGGTCTGCCCGCAGTGTGCCGTCCGCGTCCGCAGCCCCTCTCCCAGATTCCGCGAAGTACGCCTCCGCCGGGGGGGGGGGCTCTCGGCTGATCTGGCCGCGTGGTGTGGGGCAGGCTCCTCCCCCTCCACGAGCAGCACTTCCGAGACACTTCCGAGACACTTCCGAGACACTCCCGAGACACTTCCTGCTCGCGTAGGTCACCGAGCAGCGAGACGAGCAGCGGCGCCTCTTCGAGGACCTCCGCAAGCAGCGGCTCGCCGAGGTGTGAACAGCGCCTCTTCACACCTCTTGCTGTGAATAGGAGCTCCGCAAGCAGCGGCTCGCCGAGTTCATGGAAGGCTTCAAGACGATCAGGCTGCGCCTCAAGGAGA